TATCGAATACATTAGGGTAGTGTAAACTAAGAATGGTGTGTGAATTAATTTATTAGTGCGAATTGAGGGGCTGATCTCTTATTAACCAACGAATATCGAGTACACTGGGCTAATTTGAACGAAGTCTGGTGTGTGAGTGTATGTGTGAATTAAATATTTAGCACGAATAAAAGGTTTTATCTCCGATTACCCCGGGGATTATTGAGTACACTGGGGTAGTGTGAAAGAAGTCTGGTGTGTGTGAATTAATTTAATAGCGCGAATGAAGGTGCATATTTCTGATTACCGCGAGGACTGTTGTAAACTTTGGAGCATGGGAAAGTAATTTATTGGCATAATGAGGGATTATCTCCAATTATTAGCCAATGGGCTTATCCATTATTACTCAAGGAATATCGAGTACATCGGGGTATTTTGAACGAAGTCCAGTGTGTGAATTAAATTGTGAGCGCGAAGGAAAGATTTTAATTCCGATTATCCCAGGGATTATCGAGTACACTGTGGTAGTGTAAACGAAATCTGGTGTGTGTGAATTAATTTATTAGCGCGAAAGAAGGGGCTTACTCCCGATTACCCCGGGAAATGTCCAGTACTCAAAGGTTGTGTGAATACCAACCATAAACACTCAATTAATTATAATAATTTTTTACGAAATGAAAAATTTGTGTCACAGGCGGGATTCGAACCCACGACTTTCGGCTAAATACGCCGCTGCTCTACCACTTGAGCTACCGTGACTTCGATCGCCCATGCCACAAACTTCTCATTTCGACTCCCCGATTTTATTCTAATTGTAAGCAAATCGCGGCTTCATATAGAAACACTTTTTATTAACGATTGTACTAGATTAGCGGGACTGTGTACGATTCACAGCAGCGGCGGATTGAGCCGAAAGTCGTGGGTTCGAATCCCGCCTGTGACACAAATTTTTCATTTCGAAAAAATTGTGTATAATTAATTGAGTATTTATATATTTAATGGAAGCTGATAAAATTTAGTACCAACCATAATATTAAGGTTATCTGGTTTCTGTTTCTCGTGTGTTTGTGTTGAACAAATGAACTTCTGATGTCCCGGAAAAAAGCCCATTATGAAAATTTGCCATGTCAACGCTCTAATCGTCGCGTCATCGACGGCTAGTAATACTACAACTAATAATAACGAATACTACTACTACTACAATACTGTTTTTTGTTTATTACAGTATTAGAGTTGAGAATTTTTTTGAGAAAAGCTGGTGAGTGATAGTATGTTGACACCTTGTACGTACTAATTACATTGAACGTCAATTTACTGTATGAAAAAGTTGAAACGCTAAAAAATAGATAGATGAAGATAAAAAATTTAGACATAAGCACCCTCGTATCTCCTCTAAACCTTTATTTTTTATTATATCAGAATACCAGTTGCTAAATAAATGACTACATAAATTCTAGTTTTTAAAAATGCTTAATAGGAGGTGTCAATATGTAAATTTGTCTCGGTCATTTTTAATTATATTTCGATATTAATAAAAAGTATAATATTGATTACTTAATTTTTATTTTGATGCTGAATCCCATGAATAAGAATTAAACCGTCTGTCGAACCTGATACTACTTGATGACCGTAAGCTTTCAATTATGATAAGCAGGGATATTTATTGAACGGTAATATGGTCAACGCATTAATTAAAAAGCATTATTCGCTAAATAATGATATGAATAATTATTTCCCTTGATTAATATCTCATTTCAAAGTGAAGCTTTCGCTAAGCCTTGCCCGCGCTCAATAAACGCCCAACGTCATTACTGGCCACCAAAGGGCATTCAGAAGCGGCATACATACATTTGCATCTGGCCACTCCCTTCAGAGCCGGGCTCAATTTTGTATGGGGTTTTTCGTTAATTTACACATGAAAAGATGATGGCGGTTTAAGGTCACATTTTCTTAGCCTGGAGGCCTAAGCCAAATAAACAGCTGACGAAAAAGGAAAGTAGTTGGATAATATAATTCGATTCTTTACTGATTTATATAAGGTCAAATCTGCGCACGCATGTAAATAAATAAACGCTTGTACAGAGTTCATTCTATCACTGCTTGCAGCCAAACAATTCCAGCTTTTGTAATTTACAATAAATTATCGGCAGATCTCGATAATCACCAACCCCGGATGTTCAGATAAGGCTGCCAACACCCAGGATTACACCTCGGTCGAATCCGTCCAGCCGCCATGCTTGGACTCCAGGGGCTATCAACAGCTATTATTTTAGCCACCAATGCAATCAATTCCTAAACACAAGCCGATTCACACTCTCATTCAGTCTTAAATACATTCTTTCTTATTTACATACCATTCAATCAGTTAGTGTGATGGAATACTCTATATTCCATCGACTCCCTCACATATTCACGCTAATAAATACATTCACTCTCAAGACCTCTAGATACAAAACAATACCAGCCCTTTATACAATAAAAATAACTATATTCACTAATTTCATGGTCCGCTTGACCAATTAATATATTACAATTAATTAAGGTTTTTAGTTGAGATAAAAAAGTCAATGGCACGAGCGGGATTCGAACCCACNTTTTTTCATCTCAACTAAAAACCTTAATTAATGGTTATATTATATCGATGAAACTAGATTATCGACCTGCTGGATACAAGAAGTCTTTTCAGAGGATGTGATGATGAATGTGTCCAGGCATTAGAAGCCGATAAAACCTTGAACATTGAATCGGGCAGCATGTCATGAGTTAATAATATTGAGCGATGCCACCCAAACCTAAATTGCGACGACATATTAACAAGTAAATACAATGTGTGATCTTGAATTAGAAGTGGTTTCTCATTGGATGGGGTATGGGGTTATGGGGGAATCAATGACCATGATGGTGGTCGATATGCTGGCCAAACAAGCGGCTTAGTTAGGTGTCTGTCTGGCGTCCAAAACTAACGCCAAACGATCACTTATTGTTTTTGTATTTAAATTATTTGACAATCTCAATGATAGTCCTACTCTCCTCCCTCAGCTATAGCTACACGCCCCTTTGCACTCTCTTAAAACCCACAAACTATTTTATATTGAATTCCAAACCTCTAACTACATGCTCTCTTCTCCTCTATACATAATGATGATCAAGAGTAACAACATCTGCAATAGCATTAACTTCTTCAATAGTTCTGTGCAATCTGTGAAAAATCATATCCTACAACCCTACTTTAGTTGAATTTTATTACCAGTTTATATTTTTTTATATTTTTTAAATGCTTTTACATTTCATACAGTTAAAAATTTATTACAATTTATTTAATTTACTTGTTCACCTAAATCTTGCACTCTAGTCTTATTATATATCTACAATGAGCATTATTTTCATTTTATTGAAAATGAATAATGATAATATGGTAGTTTCAATTGTCTTTCAGCTTTATTTTGTTTCCTTTGCCTTAATTTGGTTAGCAATTATGTCTTTCATTTTTGTTACTGTTCAGTTTTTACTCTTTAATTGTAATTTTATAATTACCATTCATAATATTACCATGTATATATGTCCTTCTTTTTATGTATATTATTTGTATTATTGCATATATTATTTTGTGTATTATTTTTATTTTTTGTTATTGTAAAATGTCTTTTTATAGTGGATTTCGTAAATTAATAAATAAAAACACGACAGAAACCGTGATATATCTACACACAAAATACACACTTTTAGTGAGTGCAATACTATGATTAAACCTAAAAAAATTTAAAATTTTAATCATTGTGTAAATTCATATTCACATCTTGCATGTATTTGTATAATTTTAACAGTGTTTATTAATCCCAGGCCCTGAAGATGTCTCAATAAAGGTTGAAACACAACAAAGAAAATGAATCTTTATGTAAGGTACTAGTTGTGATAAAAAAGTAAGTGTTACGAGCGGGATTCGAACTCACGAGCTTGGTTTTAGATACGCCGCTGCTCAACCCAACCTTTCGAATTTTCCCTCGTTTTTACCATTTTTGAAATGTCGTGTAATCTATTCGATTCTCGGCGACAAATGAAATTGCCACGGAGAGCTTTAGAGAAGATATACTTCATTTTACATATTAAATCCATTAGATTTCGTGGTACGATTGACCTCTCAATTAATTAATCTTTATGTAAGGTAATGGTAGAGATAAAATTTCACTGTCACGAGCAGGATTCGAAAAATGGCAAAAAGGAGGGAAAATACGAAATGCTGGGTTGAGGTGGGAAGTTGGTGTCCGAGTGGATCGAGGTCACAATAGCTCAAGTGGTAGAGCAGGGGGTCGAATCCCGCTCGTGACACTGACTTTTTTATTTCAACTAAAAACCTTAATTAATTGAAGATGTTATTTGGTCAATCGGACCACGAAATCTAATGGATAAAGAAAATGTTTTTCTAAACCAACCTCACACCAGACCGCATCTCATGATCTCTAAATAATCATTAATAAATACATTCATTCTCAACACACTCTTGGATACTCAACAATATCAGCATTTTACACAATAAAATAACACTGTTTACTCCAAGAATCATAACAGGGGACTCAGATACTCGCTTCCGTGCTCAAGGGTAATCCTCACTTCGCGCGACATTCCTACCCGCTCTCTATATGGGGCCAAGAAATTGCACCGTTAAATTAAGTCGGATACATCGAGCAACCTTTGTCTATTTAGAGCTGATGATGATGGTGCTGCAAGTCGGTAAACTCATGTTGAACCGCACAGAGTCACTGGGTCTACCCTCGCGGGCTTTTGAGTTATTCAAACTCGTTTGATCATTGCGCCAAATATCGCTAAGATTAAACAAAGAGTGCTCCAATCCGAATTAATTCCGCCTTTTCCAAATGGCAGTCGATTTGTGTGAGTCGATTTATCTCTTAGTCTATTGTCCAACTTGGAAGTGTAGAAAAAGCAGGGTTGAAAAAACGAAATACCTAGTAACCGAGTATCTAGCCTCTAATAACCTCCGTTAGAGAGCATAGCTTTTTCTTCAGCTGATTTTTTTTATAACGGTGTGGCTGTGTATTTTGCAAATAGAAAAAAAGATAATACGGTGTGCTATATTAAACCTATAGGTCGGCTCGGATATATCGAATGTAAGTACTTTAGTATAAAAAACATTATCCCAACATTCCTGAATTAATGCCGAAATAATGTAGCGGCAGTGAAATAAAAGGCTCGAAACGTGTTATTGCATTAAAGTTTGCCTTCCAACGTAGCTTCACAGATTTACGTATCCACTTCGCTTTGACTGTTATTACACTTCTTTTTGCGGATAACGATTAAAGTTTGTTTCAAAAAGCGCCGAAGATAGAGGGGTTTCAAATCATTATTGAATTTTTCTGGCCGTTAACAGTTTCAAAATTTTCTAATACCAAAGCATCTCGAGACAACTTAATTCAACTTCTATTACTAAAAAGAAAGATGAAATCATTTTCATAGACGTTGGAATGTTTTCTTTTCATATGCCTACCATACGTGATAAAATCCTTTTCTCTTCAAGTTGGTCGTAAAGTTTTCCCTTTAGACTCATGAATTTTCTTTGGGTTTATGTTTTTTTTAAGAGATATATGCATGGTATTTTGTCAATTTGGTGAGTTTATACTCGCTCGATTCACCTTAGCTTCATGACTAAAATGGCCAGTTTTATAAGTTTGTAATGTTCACGGATGTTTTGCAGCTTTGTTTCAATAGAATTTTAAGCTTTAAAATAAGGTTTTTGCCTAATAGAATTATAAAAGATACTATTTTTTCTCAAATCATTATCTCGGTGGTTGAATATATTTGTTTTCAGTCGACAAGATGAAGATGAACAAGTTTGTTACAAGTTCAAAGCGTAAAGTACGTCAACGGTACTTCGCCGCTCCGTCTCATATTAGAAGGAAGCTCATGTCTGCACCTCTTTCCAAAGAGCTCAGGCAGAAGTACAACGTTAAAAGGATGCCGATAAGGAAAGACGACGAAGTGCAAGTGAGTGATGATTTTTCTTCAAAACATGTAGATGATCCATTTCTAACCTGTCATCTCGTTTCAGGTCATTCGCGGCCATTACAAAGGGCAGACAGTCGGAAAGGTTCTCCAGGTTTACAGAAAAAAATATATCATACATATCGAACGCGTCCAGAGAGAAAAAGCGAACGGGGCGAGTGTCCCCGTCGGTATCCATCCTTCAAAGGTATTCTTTTATTTTTGAATTTAAGTAGAGCATGAATAATTAGCCATTGAAACTACTTTGTCCTTTTTCCCGTCGGGTCTACATATTTATAACTGAAAATCCTAAGCACAGCAAAAATCGCCTCCTGGATTTCTTTAACTAGGGTTTAAGCATATGTTATTTACCGGTTTTAAACGCAATCTATTGACAAAAGAACTGTTATGCATGAAAAGAATCAGAAAGGGACAAACAAGTGTGTATAATTAAAGAAAAAATCAAAAAGGTGTTTCAATTAAGATAAAATTCAATATAACCAAACGATTTCAGTCCATGCACATTTACACAGATACTCTAGCAATTAAGCTTTTTTAAAAATCTGTCACAAGCTCCTCTCAGGAATAATGATGGAACTTGGATCGTTCCGAGAAAGAAAAGTCCAAAACATTTGCGAAACATCTCTTCTAGATATTCAAACCTCATAACTTAATGAATATGAACACGATAAATTATATCATTCTAGATCTGTCACCTAAACCAATAACTCCAAAACAAGTATCACAAGAAATATTACAGCTTCCTAAAAAAAATCACCTGGTCATGATTTGATAACAGCTGAAGTTTTTCAAGAACTTCACAAAAAACAGCTCTTTCTTACTTCTTTACTTAACGCAATTTTGAGGATTTCACATTTTCCCATACAATGGAAACTTTCTTATATTAAAATGATCCCAAGGCCCCATAAAAATTTAAGCTCCCCATCATCTTATGCGTCCTATTAGCTTGTTACCCTTCCTTCTAAATTATTCGAAAAATTAATTTACACAATAATTATCTCTATTGCTACTTCGAACAACATCTCACCAGTCCGTCAATTTGGCTTTCGAACCCAACATTCCACCACTCATCGACTTCACAGAGTGACAGATTTCTCAAGCAGAAACTGTACGCGACTGGAATGTTTCTAGATGTTTCACAGGCATTCGACAAAGTATGGCATGAGGGATTATTATACAAATTAATTTTTTTTACCCCAGGCCTATTATCTGATTATACAATCATATCTTAAAGAGAGATTTTACGCAGTAATCCAGGGTACGGAGACTTCTGGGATGGACGAAGTGCTTGCGGGTGTGCCACAAGGGTCAATACTCGCTCCGCTGTTATACACAATTTTTACTTCTGATATGCTCACAAATGAGAATACACTTACCGCCGCAAACGCAGATGACACCGCCGTATTGACAAGTCATCCCTCTTCTACACAAGCTTCACTCAGGTTACAAAACCACATAACAACAATTGAAAAATAGAGCAATCTTTGGAAAAAAAAATTTAATCCTTCAAAGTCACAACATACCACCTTTACACAACGTCGTGACATTTATGCAATGAACCTGTCCCTCAATCCGAAAAAAGTTAACTATTCAGAACTTACATTGCTATCGTGACCATTTCATTTGTCGCTGAGAATCAAATAGATTACACGACATTTGAAAAATGGCAAAAAGGAGGGAAAATTCAAAAGGTGGGGTTGAGATGGGAAGTTAGTGTCCGAGTGGATCGAAGTCACGATAGCTCAAGTGGTAGAGCAGCGGCGTATCTAGCCGAAGATCGTGGGTGCGAATCCCGCTCGTGCCATTGACTTTTTTACCTCAACTAAAAACCTTAATTAATTATAAGATATTACTTGGTCAAGCGGACCACGAAACTAGTGAATTTAATTAGTATGTAATGCTACACCCTCAAAAATGAATGAAGCTTAAAATGACATCGTATTTTTTTATTTTCAGACTGTCATCGTCAAGCTGAAAATAGACAAAGACAGGAAAGCCCAATTGGATAGAAGAGCCAATGGACGTCAATCCGCCCTTGAGAAAAATAAGGGAAAATACTGCGAAGATGCTGTGGAAAAATAATTTTATTCTCCCCCCTCCCAACAAAGCCTAATAATACAAGCGGATATTTTAAAATATTGATCAATATTTTTGTATTATTAAGATGTTTTTAATAAAATAGAGTCTGTACTTAAAAATGATTTATTTTTACATTTCAGGAACACAACAATTATTAAAAGGAAAAACAAGAAAGTCTAAAGTTACTTCAATTATTGTGCAATTATTGAATTGTCCATCTTGTCTTATTTGCTCTTTTCTCATCCAAATCCTTACTTTTTTCTAAACCAAGCCTATCTGTTATAAAATGTATTTTGGCCTTGTACCTCATTTACGGAGATGTAAAGCGCCTATAAATCTTGGTTATTGCACCAATTCTTTAACTTTAAAGATCCTTTTTCGCGGCGTCATTTTTTTCATACTCTTCCATCAGTTCTTGTAAATTTTTAATTGGGCAAATTGTAAAATTTCAGAAAAAGTCCCTAAGCTTCCTAATTAGAAATGTTGACTAATTTAGAGACGGACTTTCATTACTATGGATTATCCAAGCATCGAATTGTACAGAAATTATGCTTGGCTACGAATGTCTCATTTATGTGCGCCTAAGACGGGATGTTTTGATAGCTTTACATTGATCAACTTGGTGCATGGTTATTAGACATCAAAGAACATGCTTTACGCGATTATTTGAGACTAAATATCTATCTGGGTAGTCATAATCTAAGAATAATTTATTAAATTTTAAAGAAAGTCCTGTCATAAATATTGTCACAGATATAACGAAATTCAGACTTTTATCGATATCATGGTGTTAATACATTAATTCGATAGTTGAAAAGGATAGTTTTAGTTACAAACTTTTTTTTCATTAAATACTCGTCAGACTGAAAAAATCTGCAAGGTTTTTCACCCCAGATTGTACCCAGAGACTTAAAAATCTTCCAATGCGACGTACCATGGCACAGTAATGTTACATTAAAAATTCACTAATTTCGTGGTCCGCATGACCAATTAAATGATTACAATTAATTAAGGTTTTTAGTTGAGATGGAAAAAAGTTAATGGTACGAGCGGGATTCGAACCCACGATCTTCGGGTAGATACGCCGCTGCTCTACCACTTGAGCTATCGTGACCTCGATCCACTCGGACATCAACTCCCCATCTCAACGCCACCTTATGAGTTATCCCTCCTTTTGCCATTTTTCAAATGTCGTGTAATCAGTTTGGATTCTCGACGACAATTGAAATGGCCACGGAGAGCTTTAGTGAAGTGTATTTCATATTAATTCTTTAAATTCACTAATTTCGTGGTCCGCTTGACCAATTAAATGATTACAATTAATTAAGGTTTTTAGTTGAGATGAAAAAAAGTTAATGGCACGAGCGGGATTCGAACCCACGATCTTCGGGTAGATACGCCGCTGCTCTACCACTTGAGCTATCGTAACCTCGATCCACTCGGACATCAACTTCCTATCTCAACCCCACCTTATGAGTTTTCCCTCCTTTTTGCCATTTTTCAAATGGCGTGTAATCGGTTTGGATTCTCGGCGACAATCGACAATGCGACAAGTGGTAGAGCAGCGGCGTATCTTCCCGAAGATCGTGGGTTCGAATCCCGCTCGTGCCATTAACTTTTTTTCATCTCAACTAAAAACTTAATTAGTTATATTATAAATTGCGACTGGATGTATATACGATAAAAATACTCAAAAATGACATGTAATATAAACTCAAAACATCTTAAATATGCCATACAATTTCTACTAAAAATATTAACATATGCAGCATAAATGTCAGAGATATCACTCGACTAACCCGATAAACTCTTTTTTAACCTGGACTTTTTTCTTCTTGACATAATACATATTCAATTTCAAAGGAAATAGAACAGACGAAATTGCAGTCACAAAAAATATAATTTTAAAAAATTGCACAAAATAATTAAGCTTCATTAAGTTCACGATCTGCATTAAAAGTGACAAAGGTGTACATTTCAAAGTTAGTTTCTGTAAAATTAATGCGTTTATTTGCTCCAAAAATATTTATACCCGGAATAAAACTTTCCGTCAACATAGGTGATGGGAGCATACGTAGGAACTAGAAATAATTGGATACTTCATTCCTTGTATAACAATTTAATTATTTCCATCCAGCCTGCTCTTTAAGAATAAGTTTTCCCTTTAGACTATTTTTTAGGTTTGCTAGGTTCGGTACTAGGTTAGGTTACTAGGTTGACACTATGTTTAAAATGAGGTCTATTGTCTTCCAAAACTGGATTGCTTTAGAAAGATTTTCAGGAAAGTTCAAAAATTCGCTTCAATATATAAGGGGGCAGCTATTATATGAGTTTGAGCAGATAACACCAACACATAAATGAAAGAAGCGCCACCATATTTATGCACCTTTTTCCCAATTTCAATGAATTTAGATAGGCGGGTTCGTAACGTGTGACGGACAATCATGGCTATAAAACATTTCCTAAAGTATTTTTAATTTGACAAGAATTTCAAATTTGGAAAAGATTGGTCGATTTTTCTAAGTAAACTTTTTCCATAAAATGTGAGTTATTTTTAAAATTTTTTAGCCATAACTATTCTAAAATATGGAACAACTGATTTTACAAATTTTATTATCAAAATTGGTTCATTTTGAATTCAAGTTTCTGATAAGACTTCACTTTTATGCTTGGAAACGTCATTTTACAGGAAAGGCGAATTTCATAAGAAGTTTTTCGCCCTCATTTTTTGTCACGTTTTTTCCCATTGCCTCGTCCTCGATTTCAACATAATCAAGCCGAATAAAGTTTGTTCTCTATCTTATAGAAAAATATAGATATGCCCTCATACAGCATCGTTTTGCCCTAAGTAATTAGAATAATAATAAATTTGCACAAATTACTTTTATTGATTTTAGGACCCTCAGAAATGTAGAAAGAGTTCAAAGAAAATATATTTGGAAAAGATAAGAATGTGAAAATAACCAAGCTGTTGATTCTTCCTAAACTCGCTTCTTCTAAAAGTTGATTTCAATAAAGGAAAAATAAAAAATACTTCCAGTGCTCAGATTCTTTTTTTGGAAAAATAAAAATATGCAGAAAAGCCTGAAAGATTTTTTTTAACAAATAGAAAAAATATTAATCAATTTGCAACTCAATATATGTGTGTTATCTCTATTTTTTGGATTACGTAATTTCTGGAGGCGTATTTCTCATGTGTTGGGCCTGTTGAAAAACAAATTGTTGAAAACCGTGAACCACTTAAGATGACGAAATGATGAAACAAAAATTTCCAAAAATGACCGGTGCAGGAAGTTAAGAATCAAAATAAACCCTCCTTCCAAATCTGTGGTAGTTCCTTTGACCCTACTCCGGCGGAAATTATACTGACCGGCTTATACCTGGAAATGTGGTTTTTCCTTTTAACCTCGATTACCCCTAGATGACCTGTGTAGTTTCCACGTGAAAATAATCACAAAAAAGTTCAGCTAGATAAAACCATTACAAGAAAATTCCTACCCTCTATCGCTGTCCACAAAAAGCCTACTCTACATCTCTCTGATAAGGCTCAACTTGACTTATTCATGCGAACGAGGGCAGCCTCAACGCATATAAATAAAATTCAGGTCACTCTGAATCGTGTGCTCAGACTCACCAATGCGACCTGGTACGTGAGAAATGCAACTTCATGTTGATGTGGATCGCCCTTTGGTATCAAATGTCATAAAAAAGGCCTTAATGAAAAAATGATGGAGGAGTACCAAAAAAGGGTAAGATTTGTTTTAAATATCATAATAAAAACTAACTAACTCTTTTATTTTTATTGTCAGATAATAATTGTTCATGTACCATTTATTATTGGTAGAAGGCAGCAATTAGCCAAAGTATAAAATTATTATAATGATGTTTTCTATATGTAAAAACGAAAATGAGTAAAAAGGTAAGATAGAACTTTTCTTCTTTTTGTTTAACACCAAAACAATTTTTTTTATTGAAATTACATGGCGCCCGATCGAAAATTTCTGTTTTATCTCTTTTCCCTGTTAAGGCCTTTTTCGAAAGTAGGTTTTTAATTTAAAAATTTACCAAAGCAACATGAGTAATTTTGTGATTAAAAAAATAGATTAAACTATATCAGTGTTTGATTAGTCAGCAGCGCCTTCATGTCAAGCAAATATACTAATTTGGTAATAATAAACATAAATTGGTCCACAGCCCACATAATTGAAGCGTGTCGATGTTTAAAAAAATTATAAAAATTCGTGGTAAAATATATCAAAGTATTTTGATTAGGCATCGGTGGCCGCAACAGTTTAGGCGTTGACACGGCGCTCATCACTGTAAGGTAAAGGTCCCGGGTTCGAATCCAGCGCCCCTGCATTCAAACCCGACATACACAAATGGGCTTTTTTTCAAAAACACCGAGGGTAGATATGACCACTGCTGTTGCAAACCGTCGTAAAAACTAGGTAACTATATTGTTTTAATAAAAAAATCGTTTAAAAGGGCTTTTAGGTAGCTGTGTCCAAAAGTTAGTTCGCTCGCTTTTTAAACTAAGAACATAAAATAAAAAGTAAAGTAACTCTTGTCATCCAGGAAGGCTTAAGTTGGACTTGTTGGCTATCCCAAACGAGGATCAAACCTCTTTGCGCTATTTTTTTAAATATTATTATCAATTAAAAGTCATGGGTTGTGCTGGAATTCGAACCAAGAAAGCTTGGCAAATATGGGCCCTAACTCTCGGCCACCAATCAGTGTAACGAATAAATTTTTCGCCTTTTTTGTTTTAACTAGATGATCTTTGCATTTTTTTGCAGAAGAAAAACTATCTATGATATATCCTTTCATTGAAATCAATTTCCGGGTCACCAGCTTTCCTTTTCATCATCTCCATCATCATCAATGGAGCTATCGCCCTCTAATCATACAATAATATCTTGAAATACAGGGAGTCTTTATTTAAAACGATTTTTATGACGTAAAATAAAATACAAATTGTTCAGTTGCTAGAATGCATAAATGAAAAACAGGGCTTCTACCATTAAAAATGAAAAACTGAATATTTTTAATTTTTTACTGT